TTTGCTCCCACTGCCATCCAACAGATCTATCATTAATGCAAAAGAAAGTTCTAGTATAAGCGAAAGGGAGCAAAAAATCTTGAATTTAGTTATTGTGAATAATAATTAAATTATAAATTACCAGTGAAGAATCTGACCTTTTCCTCTGTACTGTCAGTTAGCCACAGGCAGACAGCCACAATAATGATGGACTGACGAAGCAGTAACACAGCAAAAGCCAGGTCTGAACAGGAAAGTCACTTAAGAAAGACTTCTTAGGGCAGCAGGTGTACGTGCTCCCTGGATTTTGTTGTCTGCAACAAACCGTTCAACTGTTGTACTACAACTGTTGTCTCCTCTGCAGGGACGTGTGCCACCTCAGAGTACAGATCTGCCAGCACAACGGCAATAGTGGCATTCACTGATGCACAGGTAGGTAGGTACTTCAGCTGCAATCTCTCATCACAACATTCCCATCTCAAGTGACCTGCCCAGTAGCAATGGAAGTAACTGGTATCCAGGCAAGGAGGAAAGGGGTACACAATGGACAAGGAAGTAGTTTTCATCTTCAGTCAAGAGGGGGATAACGTAACACAGTGAAGCAGCCAGAAAACAAGACTTGATCAATATCCAGCAGAAATTTATACAAAGACTGATGCTGTTGCAGCAGTGGATTTCACCTCTTGAAAATTAAGATTTGGATAGTACCGAGTATTAGTTAAAATAATCATCAGTGATGTTATCACTAATAATAATCAGTAGTCTTATACACTAGTATGACCTAGGACTTCAAAAAACATGTGACTGTGTGTTTATATCACACAACCCCCCAAAAAAAGGGGAGATTTCCAACCCTACTGCTGACAAAAATCTTTCAATATTCAAGGCACACCCACTCATCCATTTATCAAAAAACTATTTTTGAAGAACCTATGAAGGGTTTCATTAGCACCTGAAGAGCTCTTGTTCAACACCAGAAGAAAGCACAAGAGGGACAACACTGCCTAAGATTGTGCAAACCTCCAAGAAAAATGAAAGACATCCAGAAATAAACACAAACGGCTCCAAGAGGAAGGGCAAGGAGGAATAGAAACCCAGCCATTTCAACTCTCCATTTACCGGGGATAACCAGGGATATCCCTATGGCTGCAACATCAAACTACAGGAGCACGTGCTGCTGACAGGGATAATACATCTCATCCTTAATCACCAATCTGTATTCCAGTGAACGAACAGAACCGCATTAATGACATTTGCTGTCATCCAAGATGCACTGACTGGATCCAGTCTCCAGATTCCAACTTCTGTCAGTAACAAAGCTCTTATAATCAGGTTACTGACAACTTTTTCAACGGCTGGCATGCGCAGTTGAGGTACAGCCTGCTCGAGAATGTGTGTCTGTACCGTTAGTGCCAACAGGGTAATGTACTTTGTAGCACTGCAGAGTTTATCTGACACACTTACCAAAAAAGTTTCGAGATTTTAACAAGATAAACTTAGTTTTTGCTTATCCCGGAGCCCAGAGAGAACGTAATTTTCACGTTGACACCCATGCTCTCTCTCGCGTAAGGGCGCCCGCTCCAGCGGACCGCAGGCTAGAACACGTACACGCACTGCTTGTCCACAGGCGACCGCAGGTCCCGGCCGTTCGCCCCGCAGCCGCGGTCACGCCGTCCCCCACTG